GACTCGCTTGAGCCCAGGAGTTGGAGGTTGTTGTGAGCTGTGATGCCATGGCACTCTACCCAGGGGGACAGCTTGAGGCTCCGTCTCAAAAAAAAAAAAAAAAAGAAATGGGGAAATAGAAGATCCAAGCCCGCCAGACGCAGTGGCTCACGCTTGCAATCCTAGCACTCTGGGAAGCCGAGGCAGATGGACTGCCAGAGCTCATGGGTTTGAGACCAGCCTAAGCAAGAGTGAGACCCACTCATCTCTAAAAATAGCCAAGCATTGTGGCTATTGATACTAACAGCTGGGCGCCTGTAGTCCCAGCTACTCGGGAGGCTCAGACGAGAGAGTTGCTTGAGCCCAGGAGTTTGAGGCTGCTGTGAGCTATGACACCATAGTACTCTACAGAGTCACCAAGGGTGACAAAGAAAGATTCTGTCTCAAAAAAAAAAAAAAGAGGCCAGCCATGGAGGCTCACTGGGAAGCCAAGATGAGTGGATAGCTTGAGCTCATGGGTTCGAGACCAGCCTAAGCAAAAGGTGAAAAACTCCCCCCGCAAAAAAAGGTGAAATCCCATCTCTACTAAAAATAGAAAAACTGAGGCAAAAGGATCTCTTGAGCCCAAGTTGGAAGTTGCTATGAACTATGATGCCACAGCACTTTACCCAGGGCGACAGCAGCTCGAGACTCTCAAAAAAAAAAAAAAAAAAGATTCAAGCAGCCAGTTGAAGGGGCAGCCTCAGCCCTAACCCCATCCCTGGGGAGACCCTTCAGCCAAGAAAACCACACCTTCCTGGGAGCCAGAATGCACAACTTTGACAAGGTAGCAATCCCTGCACCTACTGGAGTCTTGGCTGCCCACGAAGGGCCAGGGAAGGTCCCAGAGGGCCCATTCACTCACCGAAGCATCACTACTATTGAATGAAGGGAGGTGTGTTGGAGGCTGCTCGGCTACCCCAGGCAGCCCTGGCCAGGTTCAGGATGACCAGGCTCGGGACACTCAATTCTCAGGCAGGCAGGGAGGAAGAGAAGGAGGGAGCCACATGCTAACTCCCAGGGTCAGCCAGTCCCCATTGGTACAGTCCAGGACAATGCTTGTCCTCACCCTGTCTCCCCAGCACATGCCCTCACTAGCCTGCCACAGCCATCTCTGCCTGTCTAGGGCCTTGTGGTGGCTATCTCTGGGGCCACCCACCTGACTGGCTGTGCCAGATGCACGCTCAGCAGCTCACCACTCCACATACATCTTCCCTGGGCTCCCCAGCCACGTGAGAGGAGGGAGAGCCTCTACTTGGCCTGGCAGCCACAGCTTCCTACCAACCCTCCTGACTCACTGCCTGCTCTAGGCCTGCTGGACATTCCTGGGGCCCCTGCAACTACCACCACATGTCCCTGAGTATAGTGATACAAGTCCCAGGTCCCTCCTCTGGCCCTTCCTGGTTTCCCAGTGTATCTACAACAGAACTAAGCCCCTTTCTTAGGATCTGCCTCCCCACTGGTTTCCTCCCCTTTGCCCTGCACCCCTGGGTGCTGTGCCAGCCCCAGGGGCTTTCTTCTGTTTCTGCAACACATCAAGCTCATGCTCACCACACCCTGCAGTGCTAAGCACTCTTTGCTCTCCCCCTCCCCCCCGGCCTAAGCTACCTCCTCAGAGAAGCCCTCCCAGCCATTTGTTTAGCACTGAGCACCCTCCCTGCTTCCTCCTCCTCAGCATGTTCAGCCACCTGGAGATCTCTCCACCAGTTTATAAGTACCCCCAGTGGGCCTCCAGCTGGAGTCTTCCCCAGGACTTCAGCATCTTCATCCTCTCACAGCTATGTCCCTGGAGCTGGCATGTCCCATGAGACTGGCAAAATGGCTGGTACAAAAGTGCTCAGCCCATGCTTACTGGTAGGGGGCAGGAAGAAGCCTTCCCAGCCATTTCCCAGTGGGACCCCCTTCCTACACATCTCAGGGAGGCAGCCCCTGGGCCACCTGCTCGGCTGGTGGAGCTGTTGGTCTCTAAGTCCCACACCCCTCTAGGCCTGGCTGTTCCCTGGGTGGTAGGGGGCAGTGCTGCAGCAGCCCACACCAACAGGAAGACAGCCTCCATGACCCCAGCCTACTCCCCACTCTGCTCAAGGTCTAAAGAAGGAATAGACCAGTCACACAGCAAGCAGGGCTGCCCCGCACTCACTCCTCTCACCCTGCCTTCTGTGACACCTGTAGGCCCTCTACCTCCTGGGGATCAAAGCTGGAGGCCCCCTTAATCCTTCCTCCCAAACTGGCCACAGAGCACATACCCACTGTCCAAACCCCCACCCGCTTCTTTCCACCCCCAGCCAATCCTGCAGCCCAAACCCCACCCAGCCACCTTGCTACAGCCATGAGGGACAACATCAGGGTCTGCTTGCCCCCATCACCCAAGATGAAGCCCACATTGCCCTGGCATGTAATAAGTGCTGCCTAACACTGGACGGATAGACAGCCAGTGCCCAGCCACACTTCCTCATGTCTCCCAGGCTCCACCTGGCAACTGCATGGTCCCTTTAGCTCTGCCGAGAGGCCCAAGACTTCTCCCATGGTGACCCCATGCCGGCTCTCTGCTCTACCCAGGACCACACATGAAGTAAAGCCTTCTCAGAGCCTTCTGAGCCCAGCCTGGGTGCCACATAGTGCCATGGACACAAGCACCACTATCCAGGGCCAAGATCCTCCCAAAACACCTGGCCTGCTCCAGCTTCTCTCACATGTGCTAGGGAAGTGACTTGTCCTTGTGTATCCCAGAAGCTCAAAGGGGAACCACGGGACCAGGTGCACCCAAATTCCAATTCCCCACACCAACACTTGACAGGGTCTCGGATGAGCATCACCCTCAAGGGCTCTGGACCCTCACTAAATTGAATCCCCAAGAATACCCTAGTCTTCAGGCAGGTCCATTGTGTGTCCTGGTGCCATTGCCTCACAGCAAGGGCTAGGTGGTCCTCGAAGGAGCCACACCCTACACTCTGCAGGTTGGGCCCACCCAGGCCACCACAGGGTCTCTCAGGGGCTCAGTCCACTTCTTTTCAGACAAGATCAGACTCATCCAGGATGCTACAGCCACAGACCAGACAGTCCTTTTCAGCAGGCAGTAGAGCACCAGGTGACTCAGAATGAATGAAGCTCACACCCCTAGACCAGCATAAGCAGGGCTCTTCTCCTCCCTCAGGTAGGGTACATTTGCATCCACACTGCTTGCTGGCCAGCAGCATGTCCACCACCTAGACTTCAGGGCACATCAGCCCAGCCCCTACACTCTGCCCACCAGCCTAATCCCCACCTGCCAGGCAGACCCCTCTGGCACAAAGGCCTTCTATCAGCATAAGGTGCTTAGAGGGGCTCCAAGGAGGTGCAAACTACAGCTCATATCCAGCCCCAGTCCTCCCAGACATACCTTCCTTGGTGGGGAGATGGGCCCGGCTCGGTGGCAGGCGGCACAGCCGGTGCCTGGTGACCTGAACCAGGCCCTTGGTAGGGGTCTTCTTCAAAACGGGGCTGCTTTTCCCTCGGAGGGCCTGTCTCCGCCGGAGGCTGAGGTGGCTCTTGGCAGTGGTAGCAGGTGAGGGGCTGCTCTTCTTGTCCCCAGGGAGGCTGTGGAAAGAAAGTGCAGACAGCTCCCAACAGGTTCCCCAGATGGTTCTGCCCACCCACACTTCCTCACCCAGATCCCGGGGGTGTGGAACAGCCCCAGGGGCAGGTCCTGCCTTCCCAGCAGATATAGTACCAACAGACTCTGCTGCTCTGCTCCCTGTCCCCCAAAGCCAACATCCCAGAGGACCTGGGCTAGGGCAGGGAAAGCAGCAGAGGGGCCTCAGGTGCCCAGGGTGCCACCCCCCAGCTCCCCAGGCCAGATAAGGCCACAAGTGGGACCAGGGTGGGGTGACAGAGAATGGCAACATCCCCAAGAAAGGGCTGCTACCAGCCCTATGTGGCCTTCCCCAGCCCACTCCGTAAGAGGAGCAGCTTGTCCAGCCCCAGCTCCACTCCACCCTCCCTGGAACAGACAAAGCCACACAGTTGCAGGGGTGTCCAACCTGCTGCCCATGACCACATGCCTCTTTTTGCAAGGACTTTTGTTGCTTATCTATGGTAGTGGATATCATGAAAAGTATGCTTTTTCTTTTTTTGCTAAGTAGCTTTCATTAGTGTTTGTGCATTTACTACAAAGCTCAAGACAACATTTATTCTTCCAATGTGCAGCAGAAGAAAGAAAAGGTTGGACACCCACATAAACTTCAGAACAAAGCTGCTACCCAGAGACAGTTAGGCATTCAAGGGACATCTGCATCATTCAAGATAGCCCTTGTCTGGGCAACCTGTCTCAGGGCCAGAGGGAATGAGCTTACCCAGAGCCAAAAACAAAGGCCAGACCTCAAGAAGAACTACCTGAGACAGAGTCACAGAAGATACCCTCTTCAATGGCAACTACCACTGCATCTATGACAAAGGCAAGCCCTCTGCCCAGCTGCCACTCTTGCTGTTTGTTGCTGCCCCAATGAATTCCTTGACCCCAGGCCAAGCATTCTGGACTATGACACCAGCTTAGGGTCTTATCACAATTCTCTGGGGGAGACTAAGAAAGTGACTTGGCCTGGTCACCTGGCCACCAAGGGAACCTTGGAGCCCATCCCAACAGCATCCTACAATGCTGGCCAGTGGCCAAAGCCAGGAAAGCCTAGAGGCTGCAGGACCTGCTATGGCCCAACGGGAGCAACCCCCAGCCGGGCCCAATCAGGCACCTACCAAAGGCAAGTCCTCCTGGAGCCCAAGGCCCATGCAGAGCAGGAAAGACCATACAAACCAGGGCAGTGCCCATGGCTTGGGTCCACCTCATAGCACAGCACAGGGCCTACAGCACTCACACTACCACACCCACCAGCAGGCACACCCTGGGCAGGCTGGGTGGGGGGGTTTACTGCCCCAGCGCCTGGCCTGGCACAAAGCCATCCATCTATGAACCTTGTGCAGCCATAATGGAAGCTAATGACTTTCTGGTCTCTCACCAGCAGGAGAAAGGGTGGCCCTGCTGGCACCACTAGGGCCAGGGCAACTGCTACCCACAAGGGCCTCGCATAGCCTTATATGGCAACAGTACTCCCTGGCTCTTTCACACTGGAAATGGAAAACACAATCACACACAAAGCTCCAAGCTCAGGCTGACACACTAGTGGTGCCAAATAAACCCATCAGGGGCTTCACTCCTCCTCACCCCCTTGCCCATCCACTCTGTGGACCATGAAGGGAGCCCAGGCTCAAAGAGAAACAACTGCTCAAAATTCCACAGCTCAGGGAACATGAGGACCTTGCTGACCCCAGCCCTGCCCTATCTACTCAGACAGGATGTTGTGGTGGTAGCAGGTGGGCACTCCTACCTTGTGCTTCCCCGCCTACGGACGATCTTGGTGCGGCTCTTCACTTTGTAAGCCGAGAGTGAGCTCTCACTGAAGACAGGCTTCAGGCCACTGGATCCCACCGCTGGTCTATCCCCTGGTGGGGACCGAGACAGGACTGGGGAGAGCTGGGAGGCATGGTCCTTGCTACCAGCCTCTGACTGCCAACGGAAGGAGGAAGAGGAGGAGGCCGAGGGACTGGAGGCCTTCCACTTGTACTTGCTGGGGGCAGGTCCCAACTTAGAGGACATGGCTGGCTTCCTGGGCTTGGCATCTGGGTCAGTTCTAAGCTGTGGCTTCTCCATCTTGTCTGCTGGGCCAAAGGGGTCCCTGCACACATTCTCAGCAGCTCCTCTGGGACTGAGGGCCCTCCGAGCAGCCCGAGGGCTCTTTGCTGAGGCAGCCACCCATTTATAGTTATTTTTCCGGAACTTGTTGGTTCTACAGGACACAAGCAGTGAGGATTCCCGGGCCTGCCTGGGTCCTGAGGTCGATCTGGCTGGACTTACCACTGAGCCAGAGGGAGCTGGCTGATCTGGGTGGCCAGCATTCACTCTCCTCTCCCCAAGGAGCTGAGCAGTACAGCTAACCGCTGAATGAGGGGGTACCTTCCGACCCAGGGCCATGCCAGAGTGAGGGGATAGGACAGAAGATGGGAGGCATGCCTTGACAGCAATGGCACTCTCACTGACAGTCCGGCGGGGCCCCAGAGGGCTGTCACCCACACTGCCCAGAGACTTGACCACCCTGGGCTTGCCTGGCTCCTTCTGGCAGACCAGAATGGGGTCCTCTGCACTGCAGCTCCCCCTGGCTCTTCCTGGCCTCGAGGACTGTAGCTGCCCAACAGGGGGGTCACCTTCACCTTCCTGGGGTCTTTGGCCATTCCAGGGGGTATCTTCATATTCTTCCAAAGAACCCTGCTGGGCCCCTAAAGCACTGGTAGAGCCAGATTTGGATGGTGGTTTAATTTTGATGACCATGTTCTGATCTGGACTGAGCTGGACCTGTCTCTCAAGAACATACTGCTGAGGGTCTTGACTCTGGCTGCCCCCAGGCTCAAGGGAGGCTTGCACAACGTGGTCACCAGGTGGGTCTAAGGACCCCGGGGGCCGATTCACAAGCGAGTATTTCTTGCGCCAAGCAGACCCATGGTGTGAGGAGAAGCCCCTCCGACTTGGACGGGGGTAGCGGGCACCAAAGGCCCTGCTGTGGTAAGGGGGCTGCTGCCACCGGGAAGCAGCTGAGGTCCCCGGGGCAGGGACATTGCCATGGAGGTTTTTGTAGTCATCAATCAGACCTGAGAAGACAGAATCACAGCCTCAGTTAACCAGAGGTTGTAAGTGAAATATCAACAATTCTGACTACCCCAGTAGGCATCAGCTGGCAAGATGTTCCCATCTCACTTCTGAGCCCCCATTGACTGGTAATCACCTGACAGTTCATCCCAAGTCCCTGGGCCTGTCATTTCCATAGCCTGTCTCCCTCAGTTCTATTTCAGTTCTTCCACCTGGTCATCTGGAAAAGGCACCCCTGTGGCAGAATAGGCCCTATTTGCCAGTCTACTGGACCCATGATTCTTTGAGATGAAGCATCCCTCATTATGAAGAGACCAGCAACACTCCATGCTGTAAAAAGTGGACCAGAAGGGACAAGTCAGTCACAGAGGTCCTCTGGCTTGCCCATAGATGAAAGGGGGCAGGACTGCACTAATAATCTTCACTGAGTGAAACATGCGGGCACTCTGTCCTTGACAGAGTCAAGATGTCAGACTGTCCTACAGAAAGGGAGAGAACTGACAGGCTGGTAATGCAAGGGACTGACACGATCACAAAGACTTTCCGAATCAGCTCCTAGGTAGCTGTCCTGCAATAGGAGGCATGAGCTGGAACAACCAGGGCTCAGTAGGCAGAGAGTCAGTAGCCAGACTCCAGTTATCAACACTCTCCCACCACAGGTCTTGCCCCCAGATGCAAAGCCATATCCAGACCTGGGGACACCTTAGGACAAAGTGGAAGACAGCCCACCTGGGCTCTCCTCCATACGCGCTTTCTGAATGCTTAAGTCTTCTTTTTGTGAGAATAACACCAAAGTGGATTTTCTTTTTAAATTTAGGAAGACCAACTTTGGTCCAAAAATTTTAAAGTGTGGAAGCTGAGGCCTGGGCAGTTTGACGTACAGAGAGACCATCAAAACTGGGCGTCTGGGAAGAAACTGCGCCCGCCGGAGCCAGCTTGGCGGCGCCGGAACAGGGGCCAGTCAGTCAGTCCTGCGTCTCGCCCCCGGCGCGGGGAGCGAGGGTGGCGCCTAAGGACGCGACCGCCAGGATGGGGGGTGGGGGCTGCCTCCCGCCGGTTACTAAGCGACGGCCCTGCGTCCATCGCCCCGGCCCCGGGAGGACCAGCAGCCTTTTCCCGACGAAGCCCGGGCAAAAGACTAAACCAGGTGGCCCACAAGTCTTTTGGGGCCCCAACCCGAGCTGTCAGGAGGCCGCGGGCGGGGGGCGACCCCTTTCGGGGAGCTGGGCCGGAGCCAGCCGCGAGGTGAGGGGAAAAGAAGAGGACGCGCGCCCCGGCCCCTAGCCCGACCCACCCTGCAGGAGGCGGATCTGCCGCCGTAATTGCTCCTTTTCCTCCATCTCCGGAGTCCGCGACGCCCGGCCAGGCCCCCGCGACGTCATCGCTGCGCGACGGTCTCCGGCGGCCAGGCCAGGGCGGGGCCGGAACCGCGGAGCCGGGTGGGAGCGCTGGGACTGCGCCGGCGGCGCGGGGCCTGGCGGCGCCCGGACACATCAAAAACGCACCGTCACCCCGGCAACGGCTGCGAGTAGGCGGGGCCACGCACGCGCACAGCTAGGGGTCAGGACGTCACTGGGGCGCGCGGGGAAGTGGCCGGCACCTGGGCACCTTACAGCTGGTACTGCGGGTCCTCCACAGTCTCCACCTACGCGCTGGGGGCTCCACAGGGCACTCGAGTGGGAGAAGGGCTGGTCAGCGTTATCCTGACCCTTGGAGGCCAAGGTGGGAGGATCACTTGAGGTCAGGAGCTCAAGGAGTCTCTCTTAACCATCGTCCTGTGACCAGAGGAGGGGAAAACAGTCGGCGAACAAGGTTCCCTGGATAGACATGTTGAGCTTCTGAAGTGACCGATTGTGGTTTGTCAGTGGAAACGTGTGTAAACCTTTATACGCGGTTGGTGGGAGTAGATGATGCCGCACTGAAAACTGCCATGGAGGTTCCTGGGAAAGTTTAAAGTAAAATTACCATATGATCCAAAATAATTGAGATGGATGCCAGCTGCCTCATCACCCCCACAAGATGGATAACGGCGGCCTCCACAATGGCCTTACACCACCCCTCACCACCCCCCAGGTAGGAGGAAGCGGAAAAAGAGGTAAATGAAATGATGCCAAGTACCATTACTCTTAAATCTGTCCAAATCGGGCCGGAACAGGACAAAATAAGAACGAATGGGCCAAGAACTGTCATCACGAGAGTTAATGAGCTAAGTGCTGTGACAATTTGTTTTATTTATCCATTAGTTGCCAGATCTACATTATGTTGCTTTATTATCTAAGTACCCTTTATGTTACCTATTGGCTAAACAGCTAAATTGCAAAGTTTGCTTCTGTAAAAGAGGTCATCGTGACCCCGGCTCGCTTATTGCTTCTTTTGCAAACTTTGCTTCTTTTTTTTTTTT